ATTATCAGAAATGCCAGTCCCAAAGGGCATTGCTGCTGCTCTTAACCACCATTGTGGAAACACAAAGAGAAAATAAACTTGGGGCTTTTTATGTGCTAAGCTCAAACCTGAACAGGCCTTTGCCACAGATCAGGAGTTTGTGTTTACAGCCCCTGTGCAAGCAGGATAAGTCGATGAAACGCCACTGCAGTAAGCAGGGTCAGGCAGGCTGGCACTGCTGAGGAGCTGGCCTCCATCTCCGCAGCAGTCAGTAGCCAGGGGACATACAGCCATACATGCATTCATGAGATGACTAATGCTCTTCATCCCTCAACATGCATGCAGGAACGAATTCATGCCTCCCAGGGTACCACAGGCCCACTATGGCTGCATGTCAGCCCTAAGGCTGCCCTGTGGACCCAACTCACCCATCTCTCCCATCACCAGCCTTCAGGTATGGCTGGAGCAGATTGCCCCTGTGCATGGGGAGACTGGTATGCATAAGGCTGTTCTTTCATTGTAGACGTGGGAGCTAAACCTTCTCAACAACCACAGCTATCACAGCACTTCTGCACTCTCATAATCAAAGGACCTTCACTTGCCCATACCATTTTTCAAGTGAAGGAAAGCCCAAACTAGACTGTGTCTGCAGCCTCATAAGCTGGAATGGCAGCTGGTGCATGAACCCATCTCCACGGACAATCCTTTCTCCCTTTCCTCCACACTTTCCATCCTCTAGTTAAAGAGATTTGAGCACACAACTACATGCAAAGCTCTGCTCACCAGTTCACCCATTCACAGTTCCTAAAAATGGTCAACATTTCCACTTACTCTGGAGAAGTCTGCACTATCTTGCAAAGTGATGAAGGATCTTTAACTCAGCAAAGATGGGGAACCCTGTATATACACTATGTCCTTGGGATATTTCCTCAGGAATTTATAACATTTAGCATATGGTGTGTCCAAGCAGAGGGGCTCCTAGTCATCCCCATTAGGAGTGATTTGTGAGTTAGAGGACACGGAGTTACTGAAATGACAGTCCCAGCTGTCCAAGCAGTTTCTGGTGGCTGTCAGCCCCATTAGTACATGGAGGCAGCGACTTGTGGTCTTCTCATGCCAGTGCCTGAGGGTGATTAGGTGGCCCTGTAATTGCTGATGGAGCATTTGTCCTGCAGGTTAGCTTGAAGTAAAACCTTTCCTGCTGAACCTAGAGCTGGAATTGTGAAGGGTCTCTGGCTGGATGAGTTCAGTCCTGGACGCAGCTGCAGCAGGAAACAGAGGCTGTGCGCCACAGGTGGGAAAGCTTCCCTTCCTTCTGCCCTTCTCTATTTCTGCCTCATAAGGTACACTTCATTTATTTTCAGGGTGTTTTCCACCTTCCACACAGAAATGCCAGCTCTTAGGATGAATATTTTCTCCCTTCCTGCAGGACTTTTATTAAACTTCTGGTTTAGTGTCTGGTTTGTTTTGCTTTCTCTTCTCTTGTCCTTTTTCTGTTTTAGAAGAACAACCATCTTCTGCTGGGAGTTGTTGGCTTAACAGAAGAGTCAGCCATCCTGCCAGCGGGGAGAGAGAACTGGGAAGATTTTCCACCTTGATGGCAAGCCCTTGGGAAAAGCAGCACTTATGTGATAATCGTGATGGCAAGGGAAGGAGCTCCTCGTTCCCTCCTGCTGCAAGAGGGACACATGACACCTCCTCAGGGCAGGAGGTGACACAGCTAAGTGGTACTGGTGGACCTGTATTTTGGATGCTGCCTAGCACTAGTTCTAATTATGGTATTTCCTAATGTTAGATACTTTCTACTGAAATACCTACCCAGAATCCATTTGCTGAGTGCATCTGCATGCTTGGAGAGGAGGTCTAAAGCATGCCTTGGTGCTGGCAAACCTCAGCCTCTCTCTCTTCCTTTTTTTTGCTAAAAGGTAGAGACAATCTGATTTACTGCCTCGTTACTTTACTCGTGCAAACCCCTCAGGACAGCACTGATCCTTCTCTCCCACACCATGAACCCAAAGATGGAGGTAGCACACAGATGAAGACTCAGCAAGTGCTCAGCTGTTAGACACCATGGAGACAAAAAAGAAAAAAGGTGAAAAAGAAAAACGGAGAAAAAGAAAAAAAAAGAAAAAAAGGAAATTGCACTGTCTCTGGTAGCTGTAGACCATCATCTGTAGAGGCTTTTGGCACAACACTGTCACACTGACTGTGACTTGGACTCAGCGGTGGCCACAGGATAAGAAGGGAGGTCAGGGTGCAGAGCAACAAGTAAGAGAGGAGTGAAAATGAATGATTTAATGGTGGAGGACAGCAAATGGCCATGAACACAATCCTCCATGGCCTCTTCAGGGTGATTACAGCCACAGCATGTCATCTCCAGCAGCCTCTCACAGCTCTTTTCAGACTCAGAATAAGAACTTCAGAAAAACCCATTGCTGGGTTCTCACTGGAGAGCAGACAGCCCCCAGCAGGGGAGGGAGACCCAGCATTTGGGATTCTGGGAGGGGCTGAAGAACGCCCGTCTTCTGAAGGGCAAGAAACAAACACCTCAGTGAGCATCATCACGTATCAATGTGCATCAACCTTAATGAGACTCAGCAGAGATGGGTGACTAATTCCAAAGCAGTTCTTTATTCATGAACATGGCTTCAGGTAGATTATTCAAGAGCACACAACACCTTCTTTGAATGCATTCACTGCTAAGCAATCGGCTTTCCAAAGTTTCCCGTTGTGGCTGAGTGGTCAGATAATTCATGTGACACGGTTTCTGCTCCCGACTGGGTGAACTTGCAAGCACAAATGTCACCATTTGTGAGCATAATTTTTCCTCTTCATGTATGCCTCTGACATTTGCTTTTCACTTACCTTTTTGCCAGTAACATGCAATCACAGATGGTGGGAGAGAGCAGTGCTAAGGGGTCAGAAAAAGGAGGAGTGGAAGGGCCCAGGAGAGGCTAAATGGGGCCTCTGGTGCCCACAGCCTTGGCAGAGGCAAATGCTTCTCCTCTCCCCAAGAGCTCCTCCCCGGTACCCAGCAGCTTAATTCAGAATAAGTGCTTCAGAAATACACTGCTGCCAGGAGACCTGTGTGCTGGCAGCAGCAGATGAGGTAAATACCATACCTGTACAACAGTCGGCACCCGAGAGGAGCCAGGGCAGCTCATCCCAGGGAGAAGGGGTTGCAGCGTACGTGATCTGTGGTGTGCCTCTGATGAGGAAACCATGAAGAGCCATGCCAGGCCTGAGGGAAGGGAGCATTATGAACCCCAGAGCCAAGGATTTGCCCAGCTGGGGGTGGGGCAGATCCCCCTGCAGGGAAGGGCAGGATGAGGATGCTGGCCAGTGGCCACTGTGCATTGCCCTGTTTCTCTTCAGAAGCATTTTGGACCTTGTCCTGCCCAACTGCAGTGACACATCTGCTCTGCCCTCTTGGCCCAGACAGCTTTGATGTCAGCCAGTGCCAGGGGAGGGGAGACTTACCTGCTTGGAGGGTCTGCTCTGAGCTGCCATGCTGGGACAGTCCTGGCATGAGAGCTCAGACATTTCCTCCATGAGCCACGGCTTCTGCTCTGCATTCAAAGTGCTGCTGGATCTCTTCTTTTTCCTAGGAAAAAATCCTCCATGGAAATACATTACTGCATGCCTGATTTAGAGATGTAGAGCTCCTTAACTATATTACTTCTTTAAGATAAAGTTCATAAGCTGATGCACAGGTGATTGTGACTGTGAAGATTTCAATGGCTGTTACCATTTCAGCAGGCAAAGCTACAGCACCAGGAGCTGATCCTCAGCAGCTTTTCTGGAACTTCAGGCTCCCTTTTCCCACAAACTGTATTGTACCTATAACACAGCACCCTCCAGGGAAAGCTGAGCATCCCTGCTGAGCTGGGCTTCCCTGGCCTGGGAAATTCTCCAGTCTCACCAGAGGCTTCAGATCTTCCCCAGCGCCCCAGGAGGAGGCCACCAGGCCACTCTACCCCGTGGCATGGAGACAGCCTCAGTAAATCATCTTCTTTTTTATCTCTGTGGCTGAAGGAAGAAGCTCAGTGTTTGCTGATCACACTATTTCAGGCAACCACAGCACCCATCAGCTCTTGCAGCTGAGCCAGTCTTGTCCAGGCGCATCCCCCCGCTTGCCAAACTGCCATCATCTTTTCCATCCTTTCCCCTGCTCCCACCTCCCTGGGGGAAAAAAAAACCCAAACCCAAAAATACCCTCTGCAAGCCAGCAGGGGTTAATGTTGTCAGCCATGACGTCAGGATCCCAATTTGCCCGGAGAGTACCCCTCCCCATCCACAAACTCCCTCTCTCCTCCCCTCCTCTTGTGACTTTGCAATGAGCAGCAAAACTCCACAGGAGCTGCGGCAACAGCACTAGGGAGACATCCAGTCCTCCCTCGGAGAGCAGCTCTTTCTGCAGACAGGGATTTATTTTTTTTCTACACATGCATATATGTATTTATTTATTTACTGGGTTGCATTTGTTTTTCCTTTTTTTAACCCTTTCAGAAAAGCCCCAAACCATCCAAATGACGAGCCTGAGATTTCCCTAAAATAAAATAACAGCACAGTGGGGTTGGGTTGCTTCCCCTTCCCCCTCAGAAAATAAAGAGGGAGGGGGGAGCAAGTAGGTAAAATCCAGAATAAAATCATATTGCTAGATAACTCACACCTCCCCCCTCACTCTCTCTCTCTCTCTCACACACTCTCTCTCTCTCTCTCTCTTTCTCCTCCTCCTCTTCTCTGAAGGTGGGTAGCAGGAGCCATGCAACATCTGCAGAACCGGATGGCAAAAGAGCAGGAGGAAAAATAATCCAAGTGGAGTGCTCAGGGGACACTGAGTTCTTTTTTTCTTTTTATTTTTTTGTTTTTTCTTCTTCTCCTTCTTCTGCATACCTGTGAGATTCGATTTCACATTTTGCTGAGCCCATTTTGGGGCATTTTATTTTTCTTTCTCTTGGGATTTTCTCCATTGCTAGAGGATGTCTCTTGTTGAGAGGATGCTGAAAGGAAGAAGAAACGAATTCTTTGACTGGCACTGAAGGAGGGGGGGGATATTTTTCCCCCACATTTTTTAGTTTTTTTCATTATTCTTTTTCTCTAGGAAATCGTTAACTGGGGGGGGTTGGTTTCTTTTTTCCCTCCCCCCCTTTTTTTGGAGGGGGATTTCAGAAGACCCATCCTTCTTTCCCCTCCCCTCCAAAGATTTTTTTCATCCTTCGTCTTTGTGGAAATGTGGACATTTCAGGCAGACAGATTGAGTGGAATTGTCTCTGCTTTAGCAGCTCTTTGTCTCGCCTGCTGTGCGCAAAGGTAAGGATTGCGATCCCAGGCTGCAGGGACAGGGGGGCTAATACAGGATTTGTTTGTTTTGTTTGGGGTTTTCTCCATCGATCTGTATGTGGGAAAGGGGAGGGGGTTCTTTCCCCAAATTTCTTCCCCTGCTGCCTGCTGTTATTTCCCAGTCCGTGTCATTTTAGGGGGAGGAGGGATGCTCATACATGAGATGTGGAGCAGGCGCTCTGCAGACGGAGCCCACCTCGCAGCCCACTTGCAGCGCGTCCCCCCTCCCCTGTACGCGACCTGGGGGAAAATGGCAAAATGAAGCATTTTGCTGGGGAACATGGTGTCCGTAGGAGCCGACGGAGTGCATAGCACCGAGCTGTGTGCATACGCACCCCGGCACAGGGCTGCCTTGGCCATGCCTGTGTCTGCACACACACAGTACACACTCAGCCACACTCACATCCAAGCGTGCTGCGCCTGTACCAAAGCCCTGGGTCTGCGGTGTATGGGAGGCAATGCCTACGTCTGTGCCTCCACACAGATTTATGGCATGCAACATAATCATCTGTGGGTGCGATCCGTTCAGATACATCCCTGCATGTGCGCATTCATCCATGCCCATCCGGGTGCACACACGTGTATCACAACACACCTACAGAGCACAGCACGCTTTACCTGCTCTGCGTGTAGCCATGTCAATGTTTGCACTAATACCCTGCATACTCAAGCTGCAGCTATTCCTGGTATATGCCTTGAGCACTCAAAGTGATCCAAGCAACCAGAGGTGCAGGCACCCATCCAGCCTGGACAAGGTGTACAGAGCACACCTGTTTGCTCCAACACAGGCATTTATCCACTGCCTTCACACACAGGAGTAGCGCTGCCTACTCCTCCTTGCCCTCCCTTCTCACACATGCGGGCAGGTGGGTTTGTACCTCTGTGCTGACGGCGTGCATAAAGTCTGCTGGGGAGAGAGCTGTGGCATTTCCTTGCTCAGGCATGCACACTGAGCAGTGCGTTCCCGATGCACACATGCAGGTCCCTGCACAGGCTTGCAGATCTGCATATACAAAGATTTATGTTCCCATAGTTATAAACATGCACATACGCAGATTCATGCCCACCTTACCCACACCATTCATGCATGGTTCCACTGTGTATGGACACATACACAGGCATGCTTAGAGGCAGCGTCCAAGCAAATGCATAAAGAGCAATGCCCATATCAAAAGCCTTTTCTTAGATGTGCCCTTGCATGTGTGTTTATATCTGCTTATGTCCAGGACTGATATTCACCTATAGTCTGCATGTATATCTGTGCACACCTTGGAGACAAAACACTCTTCCATGTGCACATGCCTTCAGCTACTCCCACACATCCCAGCCAGCAGCATGGTGCGCATATATGTAGATGTTTGGCTGCAAGTGTACGGGTATATGCAAAACACATGCGCACCCACACAGAGTCAGGGACACAGTATTCAAAAATTCAGTTCACAGGCTGGATGTACGTGCTCCCTAAGCAGATGCAGACCCACATTTGCCAGGAATAACACGTACATGCAGCTGCTCGCCCACAGCTGGGCAAATGCACACATTGCCTGTTCAGCGGGAGGGACGTGGCTTTTTGGATCAAAAGGAACACTGAGAGGCAAGAGACCTTGCCTTTAATCATGATGCCAGTTTATGCCCTCACTGGGCCAACTTGTAGCTGATGAGGAGGAAAGAGCCCCTATATCCCTCTTCCCACTCTACCACTTTCTGCAGGGCCCCAGGCACATTGGTTGCTGTCTCTGCCTCAATTTCCTTGCCTATATTAAGGACGTAACACTGCTTCCTGAGTTTATGTCCTGTGTGAAGCTAAACAAGAGTGTCTAAATCCCTTGAGAAATACATAGTGTCTCTATTACAAATATGGAAATCTATGAATATGGAAATCTATGTACCTAGGAATGACTGCCTAGAGATGAACAAATGCTGATGCACACTATCAATCCACAGAGAGCATATATACATAAGCATGTTGCAAAACCTCACATACCTGCGTAGAAATTCACAGGTGCAAGTGGACTTTGCAAGCCTAGGCACAGTGTTGTGAAAATGTCCACCTGTGCGCACCTCTCTGGCCTTTTTACAGTGAATAAAGCAATGCAATGAAGAGCTGTACCCTTGTAAGGTGCATGCTCAGGAATGCAGCTCAGACACTTACCCTCGCAGCACAAGTGCTGAACAGTTTGTCCATGCACCAAAGCTGGGCCTGGGAAGTATGCTGTCTCACATTCGCACATCCCTGTTCAGTTGAGAAATCCCTGCACATACACAGCCTGTAAATCCAGAGCCTTAACGCATGCCCAGACTCCCCAGTGGTCCCACATGCCCCCACCCACACCTATACAGAGAGTCTGGGCACCTGGGAACCCAGTCTCAGGCACCCACAAATGCCTGTTTCTGTGCTCCTGGATAAAATGTGTCCACAGCCCAGTGTCTTGTCATAACCCGATGGAGCAAGATCTGCACCCACAGTCACCTCCACACAGACTTGGATGTGGTCACACACATGCACACACATGTTTGGGCATGTTTCACAGCTGTACCCTTGAGCTCCAGTGCTTTCATGTGTCTGCATGTCTGTGTGCACAGGCAGGGAGTCCATACATCCCCCGTACAGTCAGGACAGCATGCATGTCTCTCTGTGTGTATGCGTGTGTAGACACACGGACGTGTCAGCACAAACCCCGGTGTCCAGTGAGGCACGGGGCTGGCTGGCAGAGGTAGTGCTATGGTGCTGCTTTCCAGCTTGACTTGGATGGATGTGGGAGGTGGTGTTGACAGGGAGACATGCTGGTGTGGTGGGTGACTGCAAAGAGCAGCAGTTGTCACCGGCAGGGTGTCTATTCTCATGCAAAGCAGGGTACGAGGGTGGCACAGAGGCTGGGTTTTCAGGCAGAAAACCTATATACCCTGCAGCACTGAATAGGTTCAATATTTTTAGCATCCTCTGCTTTCTGGTTTCCCACCTTCAGTTTTGCTTTGGCTCTTGGGCTGTTATTAGAGGGAATAATTTCAGCCCTTCTTGCTGAAATGGCTGGAGGAGCTGGATCAGTGTTAGGGAGGATGGCTGTCCCCGCTGCATGCAAGTCAGAGGGTTGAGAGGGAAAGGATTGCTGCCCTGGCACAGAGAGCAAAAGATGGACTCTCCTTCCCTGTCTCTGTCTCTTGATTTGCGTTGCTAAGAAGTCACGGTGATGCTGAGTGACAGAAAATTAATTTTTACATGCCAAAGATCACCCATATGTTGAGGCCATAGGACAAAAGGAGCCTTGTTTTTTCCTTTACTCAATAATATGAAGAAATACCTGGGTGCACTGAGGAGCAGAATTGCACTGGGATGTGTGACAGTGCAGGGCGCCAGCTGGGGGGGGGGGCTTGTGTAGGGTGGACCTGAGTGTGTGACAAGTCCGTGCTGTGCGGTGTGAGACTGGGAGCAAGTGCCCAGTGTGGCAGGGGAAGGGGAGCGAGCCCTGCAAGAGAGAGGCTGCAGCCGCCCCGTGCATGCCTTGGTGGAACAGAAAGGATAATTTCTGCCTGTGTGCGTGTGGGTGTGCACCCACCTATGGGCAGGGCACAGCAAGGCACCCTGAGTGTGCACATCGGTGGCCAGGGAGAGGGTGTGCATGGTGAGCGGTGCCCGTGTTGAGGGGGGGTATCAGCCCGACAGGACCGCTGGGATGGAGGCACGCACCAGGCAGGAGTGTGGGCTGATGGAGTTTTAAGTACCCAGGAGTCAGGGTGAGCTGCAGAAGAGGAGCCAAAATACCCGCTGAGACTCCTGTGCCACCCCCAAGGATGACTTAGGACCCCTGGCAGCCCCGTGGGGCTCATGTGCAGGCTGGGGGCCAAGAGCTGTGCCAGGGACAGAAAATATGAGTGAGAAAGGAAATGGGGAGGCTCTGCCCATGGCTGGAGTGTCTGTAGCACACACAGGTGCTTTGGTGCTGTGGGACATGAGGGATGCTTTGACAGCGCTGCCCAGCTGGGACACCCTACCACGGGGTCGGTGACACACGGGATGACGAGGACTCTCTTCTTTTGTCTTTCAGCCCATCCACTGGGAATATTTCTGTGGTGAAAGAGATTGTGGACAAACTGCTGAAGGGCTATGACGTCCGCCTCAGGCCTGACTTTGGAGGTATGGTGATGGCCGGTTGCGGGGAGCAGAACACGGGGGCCATCGCGTGTCTGTGCTGCCGGCTCGGCTGCTCGCAACACGCACTGACCTCGTGAAATGCTCCCATCTGACTTCTCCTCCCCCCACTGTTTGCTAGCCCCAACTCCTTCTTCCCTTCTCCCTCACGCTTCTTTCTTGCCTCCTGGTTTCCTCCTCCTCTCACCAGCTCCTCTCCTCCTGCCATAACCAATTTCTGCAGACAGCTGGGGGTTGTCCATGGTGTGATGTTTCTGGGGACATTTTGCTGGGGCAGACACACTCTGCTTTTCCTCTACTCCAAACTTTCCTCCATCGCAGACAACAGGTCACCCTCCTCCACTTCTGTTCCCAATGCCAGATTTTTTAGCTCTTTTCCCTGCAGAGGGTTGGGGTGTCTGTTGGCAGGGCTGTTGGTTGGTCTGCCAGGCTGCCCTCTCAGCAACAATATGGGATAAAATATTCCGTGGGGAGCTGGTGGCCTCATTGCTTATTGAGTAGGAGATGCAAGGATCTGCAATTCCTCTCTTGTGTCCTGTGAGCAAAAAGGAGAACAGGAAGAGCCTTCTCTTTGTCATCCTGGTGGAGATGAAACATGAAACAATCCTTGGGTACTGTTGTACTCCAGGGTACAGTTGAGATCCATTTGTTGGAGAGGAGCAGGCAGTGGAGAACCACAGCTGACCACACGGGGGGGGCGGAATTTGGAGGACTTCTGGCTTCAGCCTGCCGAGCATGGCTGGTTTTGGTCTTTTCTGGGCAATGCTATTTCCTCCTCACAAGATGTGTGGGATTGGGGGATCTTCAGCCTGCAGGAGGATGGGAACCACATTGAGATGTCCTTCTCCAGCTGGGAAGGCAGATTCATGCTTGTGCTCTTGAGGGGGAGAGATGCCAGGGCCAAGTCCATGGTAATACAAGGGAGGAGTTTTCTCCCAAAGGGCCTGATCCAGAGTTCCTTGAAGCTGGGGGTGATGGAATATCTCCACTGGTTTCATCAGGTTTTGAAGTTGTCTCAGTGTATTTCAGTTTCCCATGACCCCATGAACAAACCCATCTCTCCCTGAAACCCCTGTTTTCCCTGCACCTCACCCAAACCTGCCCCCATCCACTCACTGTCCCTTACCCTTTGGCAGAGACTGCCTTCCCTCCCCACGCACACCGTCCCCACTGCCCTCACCACCACGTTCTCCCCCAGGGTGGAGCAGGGGCTTTCAGGCAGCAGCACCAAGTGCCTCATGGAGGACTGTGGGGTGGGGGAGATGCTCATCCCTCCATAGTGCACAGGGGGCATCTGGGAGGTCACTTCAGTGCAGTGGGGAATGCTCTGGGGAGGCTTGCAGCGCTCTGCAAGGGAATAGGGGTTCCTCCTCTCCCTTCTCTACTTTGGACATGGGATTTGATTTAAAGGCTCTGTCTGGAAAACATAAGATGTCCCTATTAGCTGACCAGCCACAATCACAGGAATTGGTGCAGTCACATTTTATGAGGAGGAGAACTGCAGATATGACATAAAAACTGCAAGAAAACCATCTTGTAAGCCATTGAGATGATTATGATACAGTAAAACAGTAGGTGATCTGGCTCCACGGAGGCACAGAGCAGAGGGGTGCAGGGGGGAGCTGTGGGGCTGGAGGTCCAGCAGCCCAGGTCCATTTCACAGCCTGTGTACTCTAATGCCAGGTCCGCAGGGCATCCTACCTGCACCCTCCCAGGACACAGACCACCCCTTCCTTCAGCCTGGGCAAGGCAGCATGGGGTTTGGTGCAGGCGGTGCTGCTGACCCTGCCAGGTCTGTGTGGTGCACAGGCTGGGCTTAGCAGGCACTGCATCCTTCCTGGCTGTAAAATGGATGTTTTTGGGCAACCATTGCATTGCATTTGATTTTACTCTGAATTCCCAAAGTACAAACTGCATTTTCCCTCACTTAAGCAGAGAAATAGAAAGACGACGGTAACTCTCTTTCCTGCAATCTCACTGTTGCCTTTCACCCTTTCTTGTCCTTCCCTCTGCTCGTGAGTGCAATGTCCCGGCTGGCAGCACCAGTGATGGTGCTTTTGGTGCTCAGTGTGCAGGGATGCCCTAACTCTCAGCATGTCTGACCCCCTCCCCCTGAGGATAAGCTTATCTGGACAAAATTTCCCCTGCAGCATTTACAGATGAGGGAAGGGTAGGCTGAGAGGTGAGTCTGAAAGCTGGAGATCATTAGCATTACAAGCCCAGGGGAAAGGGGTGGAAATTTCCTCGCACCACTGCTGTCCCCAGAGCTCACCAGTTCTCTGAGATTTTGGGCCAAATCCATTCCTAGGAGAAATCCAGTGGGATCACACCAGGATGCATCTATCCCTTTGTGGCTTCTAGTTCATTCACAGCTCTGCTGTGGAAAGGGCGAAGTTCCCCCCAGTAAATTGTGTACAGCTGGAAAAGGCACACTTTGGGCAAAGTCCTGGAAGCTGTGTGTATGCAGACCTGCCATCTCTCAGGAATGCGTGGGACTGGACTGAACCCCAGTCCCAGCACCCTGAGGACTGGGCTGTTCTCCAGGAGACTGCCCCACAACCCCCCTCATGCTCTACTTGGACCATCCTGCCACCCCTCGGCTGCCTTCCAGCTGGGCAAGATGGGTGTAAGCCATCTCTGCTGCAGAAGGCGATCACCCTTCTCCCACTTGTGCTCTTGCCCCAGGAAGACCAGTCAGGGTGCGTTGCAAATGGCTGAGACAGCATCTCGGAGGGGTGGCAGGTCCTGTTTAGAGCTATCTGCCCTGGAGGAACAGCATGGGGCTGTCTCAGGGCTAGCCCAGCAGTGACCGAGCGGCCTGGCTGTACAGACAGCTGCCTGCAGGAGGAGTGGACAGGACTGGAGCAAAGCAGCCACCACTCAGTTTCCTGTGAGCCAGGCTGAGCTGCTCCAGAGAGCACCTCTACAAGCCAGAGCCCTCAGTCCTCTGCAGCTCAAAGATGAGGGCATTGGGGGCAGGAAGATCAGAGCAGCAGGTGCTGAGCACCCTGGAGGTGCAGACAGAGAAAGACCCTACCTAGACAGATTCCCATGTGAGAAATGCAATGCACAAAAGTGATAAACCAGGCTGCCCTCCCTTTCTCCCTTCTCTGCTCTTTCCCTGCTCACTTTCCCCATCTCTTCCTCCTACAGGACCGCCGTTTTGTTCTTGCCATCCTCCCCCCACATCAGTGCCTGCTGGCAATCACCCCTGCACTGTCCCCCTCCCGCTCAGCCCTGTGGGCATGGTACCACCTCTGCATCCTGGGATTCCTCTGTGCACCCACAGTTGCTGTCCACAGAACAGGAGGGAACTGGGGACCTTTGGGTGTAGAGGCACTGGAAGACTGTGTTCCTATGTACCATTTGCGCTCCTTGCCATCATGAGGCAGATCTTGCACTTCTCAACCTTTCTAAGAAAGCCAGTGCTTCCATGGCACAGCAGCCCCAGGCTGCCCTCTTCATCCCAGCACCCCCACCGTCCCCGGGATGTGGTGCTTCAATGGCTCCAAACGCAACTCACGGCTCCCTAGTCCTCTTTTTTGAGAGAGAAAGAGAACTCCGACTAATGCCAAAAGGAGGACAGGCCTGCTGGGGATTGCAGTTCACTTTTTAATTTTGAGATGCCTCGTTAGCTCTGGGCCAAGCTGAGTGGCTGAGAAGCGTCAGCCACTCACTCTCCTCCCGTCTCCCCCACCCCCTTGGAAACCCATTAGGCTGATGAGCAGGTCGGCTCTCAGGGGTGGTGCTGTAGCAATGAGTGTGATGTGCTGATCTGGGGAGCTGGGCTGAATGGGGGGACACACGGGAGAAAGGTAGAAAGTTGGAGCCATGTAGGAATGATGGAAAAATGTGGGAGCAGCTCCTCCAGAAAGCCATTCTGGCTCAGTGGGGGCAGCCCAAGGGGGTCAGGCACCAGGTGAGGTAGAGTGGAGGGGGTGGCGTTGAAGGGCCAGCAGGTACATCAGTCCTTGGGGCGCAGGTGATAAAACCTTCCGGCCTGGGGAGCCCTGGACAGTCCCTTCTTACTTCTCAGCCACAGTCCCCCAAGCCCCAGCATAGCATACCAGGTTGGAGAGATGTGGGACAGTGGAGGGTGGGACATGTAGGGACCATAAACCCAATTTTCATGGGCTGAGCAAGGAGATGGCCTGGGACTGAAAGGGCAGGGGGTCACTGCAAAGCAGGTCTAAGGGGTTTGGCCAGGATTGTGGCAGGGAACTGGAACAGCCTTGGAGGAGGGATCTGCAGGGTAGGAGGAAAATCCAGCCAGGGCTCTTGGTCTGCTGAAGAGAAAGATCTCTGTCCTGGTACTGCAAGATCAGCAACGATGCAGAGTGGGGTCTTTTGGCAGGGTGTGCTGGGGAGCCTGCTCAGCTTTTGGGGAGGAGGGCAGCGTATCTCACAGGGAGATCAAATCGCAGGTGGGTATCATCCAGCTGGCCCTGGCCTGGGGGATGGACAGTATGGGGGGCAATATTCGGTGGGTATGTTGCAAGCCAGACCACAGTAAGGCAAGCAGGATGCTCATGATTTAGGACTGGATGAGCAGGGGATGCTGCAGATCAGGTCTGGGAAGCATTGCAGGGCCATGGGTGGGGGAGAGAGGGAGCTTTCAGAGCAGCACCCTGGTTCTTGTAAGTGCTCGTAGGCACTCACTTTCAGAAGCATTAGTTCTATAGGAGAAAAAAAAAAGAAAGAAAAAAAAGAAAGCAAAGGAAGACTGTATCGCCCCAGGGTAGAGAAGGCAATGAAGGAATGGCAGGAGGATCCCACTTGTGCTCAGTGACTCAGCTTCTCTCTGTTGGTGCAACATTTCCAGCCCAAAACTTTGCAAGAGTTTCAAGCACATGGCTCTGCTTCCCAGGAGCAGGTGGAAAGGGGACCCTTTATGGTTTCCCAGTGTCATTTACAGATCTTGTTAGCCAAAAGCAAGGTGAGGGCATTCTCTGCTCCTTGCCCCCAGCCCACCTAGAGTGCAGGGT